TTAATTGTATTTACATAATAAAACAGCATGTGTAAATTGTACGTAAGTTTATAAAATTAATGTTAAACATTGGTGAATAAATTAATTACGTAGAATAGACACACCAAAGTAAATATGACATTTAATAAAAAAGATAAATATTTTAATAAATAGGGTCGAACGAGATTTATGTACATGTATAGTATTATTATTGGAACCTTGCTGCGGATAGTTGAATACGTTTAAAAAAAAATTTACAGTAATACCTATTTTGTATTCATTGTATAAATATTAATAGTATACATTACCTTTATTGGCTTTATTATAATAATATTACAAAAATAATGGAAACAACAAATTACAGTAAGGAAAATAAACTATCGTTTATTCAATTTAATAAAAAATATAAATCGATTTTCAATACATATTGACTTGAAAGGTATGAATAAAATTACTTTATAAATAATTTTGATGATCAATAAATAAGTTTAATATTGTAAAATAAATTTTTAATGATTATAATATAAGTTTAGATCATAAAATGTGGTTAAAAATAGTTAATTGTATGTTAATGTTTATAACTATTAAATAATGTTTTTGTCGTAAATATGTCTACCCATGTAATAATATATTATCAAAAATGCTACCTGCGGCGGCAATCGTCCGTCTTCTTAATACGCAACTCAGATTTAATCATATTTTGTAACATTATATTCAATACTAACGTCTTATATAGTCGCGCTTGTACTACCAATATTCTTAAACCCCTTTTATATCCTAAAGGCTTAAATAATGCATTTATTTAAATTCCGATTATTAATTAAATAGAATTCTTAAGTATAGGTACTTTACAACCACATTTTCATTTTCATGCTAATATAGCTTTATTATGCTATTAAAGGATAGTGTCTTGGTGATATAAATTACTAAAAACTGTAAACTGTTAAGTGCGTAGATACTTTTTTTTTTAATTTTGATCTAAAACGTAATTTGAACATTTTGAACGAATAACTTCTAGGTTATTAAAATGTTTATGTAAACTTTAGAAAAATTATAATCCTTAATAATGATATTACATAAAATGTATAAAATATATTATACTAAGTTTATTACTTGTTTTTAAATTACAAAATATTTATGGGTATAACAGTATATACATATTAATACATAAATTACTATAATTTTCAAATTATCGTAAGTATATAGTTAAAACCTACAAATATTATATCTTCTATGAATACAAACCTATTATCATTAACATATTATCAATATCATACAATTCTAAATAACTTTAAAGCTACTGATCCGAATATCAATTTAAATTCATAAAAATTATAAATAAAAAGATTAGTTTAATAATTTTTGGCAAAAAATAAAGAAGTTTTCGTTAAAAAAAATGAGTTTAAACCTTCATAAGATACTTTTTTTAATAATATAAAAAAAAAAAATTTAAATAAGAAGCCGCTTTAAGTATATTACTTAAACATTCAAAAATTGAAAATTCTAATTTTGTCGATTTGTACTTATTATTACTTACCTATACTATACTTACTACTAATTACTATAACGATTAGATTACTACTTATACGTATGGAAAATCCGTTTATTGAAAACTATTATTGTTTTGTATTTGAAAATACAAAATAAACTAATTGACAAACAAACAAAAAAATACAATTATACAATCCAAAAGCGTTTAAGGCTGAAAAAAAATGTACGTCAAGATTATTGTAAAAATAATTTACCAAAAAAATTCGAAAACATTAGTTAATTTATAGTGTTTATTTATTAAAATAATTAATATAAACATTCAATAAATTTAAATATAAATTATTATAGACCAAACACTGTAATACCTATAGTACCTATAGGTATATGATATTCTTATATGCTTATATACAGTTAAACGCATTCATAAGTGTTAAATATAAACTCTATATAATTACCAAGGCTCGAAAGTTATAGTACTAAAAAAATTAATTTTTAGCGCTTAAATATGCACATAAAAACATTAATATAAGCGATTTAAATAGCACTAAAAATTGGAAAATATGCAAAATAAAATTTTCAGCAAATTTTTATTAAACATGAAATATAAGATATATTTAATTTTACTGATTTTTTTTTAAAATATGAATTATTTGATTTTACTTTAGGCATTTTTAAACCAATATAAAATCACTAAAAGCACGAGAATATGTACAACAGTTTACGATCAATCGAACACGCGACACATCTAAACAACGACGAAACACTAAAATAAAATTACCGTGTTCAGTCATTAGTATACAATAGTATACATGCAGGTTAATACGACAGCACGATAATACAACGAATTTGATGATAGTGCAATATTACGATGTGACTGACACAATTTTAAAAACAAACAATTTATTGGAAACGAACGGAATTGTCCGATTTGATCGACGATGACAACTGTAGTCTAAAGGCCCGAGTACACAGAACGATGGTCTGTTGTGACGGGCCATAATATCGTATAATATGACAGACCGCGTTTTTAAAAATATGCACATCAACAGCATTTACCTATAACTCCTAATTAGCAAAATATAGCTCCTATGATATGTATTTATGTGAAAATATACCTAAAAATAACTCTAAAAACCTTAAATTAGTAAAATAGCAGTAAAAACCGTAAATATATGCAAAAAATAGTAAAATAAAATTTCGTGTATTACATCAGAGAAGTGTTAAACATATTTGTACTTATCTTACTTTGGATGTTCTAGTTAGGACGAACCAAGAAAAATATGCATTTACTAAAAGTTCCGAGCCCTTATAATTACTAACTCTATAGAGTCTAGAATATCGGTATGAATGTATACGTTATATTTCGTCCGGATTATTACCCCATATCGAAATATAATACTTATGATTATCGGGATATTATTGATTCCATAGCTTAATTTTATATTTATATTTTATTTTTATGTTGTTTTTTATTAAAATTTATAACATATTCATAAAGGTATACTTAAAATTAAAAAAAAAAATTGATACAATAATTTAATATATACGAGAAAGGTATATCATTATGCTATAGATACTCGATCAGTGAATTATTTTTTTATACAATTGATAAACTAATTTAGTAATTAAATATAAAATAAAAATATATAATATACAGGTACATACTATACCATACTTATATATATTTATACGGGACCAATAAGATTGGGCCAAAAACTTTGCAAGTATAACCCGTATAACTTAATTCTGCGCAGTGTCGTGCCTAGCATTATTAATACCCGGTGCCAAAAATTATTTTTAGCGCCCTTATCACCTCTACCGTGTATGTTTATACCTATAAAGAAAGACATAAGAATAGGGGAGAGAAATCGTTAGATTTACCATTTTTTGCACATTTCTAACTTAATAGATTATAGTAATATAATATTTAAACTGTATACGTAGTAGAATAAAAAATATTAATTGAAAGGTAGTTCATACTAAACCGGTATCATTTATTTACGAATCAAATTTGTTCGATTGCATAAAAAACAACTTATCTTCAAATGAATGCTAATAAAAAATAATTTTGTACCTATATTTCTGCAACGAATGATGTGAACATTATCATAGATGGGTTCAAAATAAAATCGTACAACTTGTTCCAGTCGAAATTCTGTTAATTTATTAATTATATAAAATAACAATAATAATGCAGTACCTATGCATATATTTTTAGTATATTATTGTTAATCAACGACGTCATTATTTCGGGATAAAAATAAAAACCAATTATATCCATACATTAATAGGTATTTTTATTTAATTGCCTACAATACATTTCAAAACGTTATCTCATCGCCAGTCAAAATAATGAATCGACGCCGCCGATCAGGATGATATTATTATATTGAAACCGTTAAAAATTATAAATTAATAGGGTTAACTTTTATCTATCAGTAATATTATTTAGATTATTAAAAGATTTTGGCACCTTGGTAGTCACTAGTCATGCAGGTGCCCAGTGCATACGCACTTCTCGCACCCCCCTATAGGCACGGCACTGGTTCCGCGTATCTAGTCTATACTTGTATCGTCCGGAATTGAAAATTTTCCGATGTTAAATTGCTTTATAGTATATTATAATACTTTTTATTGTATGCTTACCAAATGGCGGAAGACCGGCAACATTCATGTCCGCCGAAATCTTTTCAGGATATCGCATACGAAGCGTATGACTTTTTATAACACTTCGGGTATAGGTATGAATACTCGGTGAAACCTAAAAGTGCAAATCGTCGATTTTTTTGATTGACTAAAAGAGCAAATCGATTTTGCGCATTTGTACTATATAGTTGTGGAATAAAAACGCAGAAATAATTAATATTGTACCCGTTACACTATAAGTTTAATTTTAAAATAATTAATTATTAAATTAAATTATTCATTTTGGTTAAATACCTAGTATTTTTATAATTCAAAAGTAGGTACATCAACAGTGATCAAGTTCAGTTGAAGTTTAGTATTATCGTAACGAATTGCGGTGAAGGTTGATAATCATTTAAGATAACTATACAATATAATTTATATATATAGAGTATAAACTATTATATATCTAACTTATAAAATACACTTTTTTTTTTGTAAAATTGATTTGCACTTATGGAATATTTTTTTTGGGCTTTTAGGTTGCGTTGGGTCATATTTTGCGCTTATGGGTCACAGTCATGGAAACTTCGTGTATTAATCAAACCCAATTAATATTATAATAATAATATTAACAATATCTTACGCATTGGCACCCGCACGGGTGTTTTAATATCATAATATTATAGGTATGCACGCCACCTCGGGCGGCGGGAGAACTCGACCGCGGTGCGCGGTTGGCCCAGACGCCGGCAACCGGTCGGGGACAGTCGATTGGCCACCGGTGTCCGCGCCCACATTTTCGCCGTCTTGCCCTCCGGTGGTGGGGAGGGAGGGTAATGCCCACGTGCTCGTTCGACGGACGCCACCGCGGCCTTGCACTTCTTCAGTAGTCCGATAGCCGGTCGACCGACGTCTTGCGCGCGCGTAACCTCCTCCAGTTGCCACTGTTCTTGTGAAGCTGTTGTTATTGTTGTTGTTATTGTTGCTGTCGCAGTACTAGTATCGGTGTGCGTGTGTGTATGCGTTCGTGTGCGTGTTCGCCAGCAGTCGTTGCCGCCGCCGCCGCTCCAGTAAAGTACAATATTATTATTGCTTACGGGTTCGTGTCACCGTCGTTTGTTTTGATTTTTCGGTTTTGGTTTGTTCATATTATACGCACAATATATAATAGCACTCCACATCATCCGAAAAGTATATCATTTTATTGTTGACGGATATTGAATCGCATTCGCTATATAACGGGACGCGACGTGCCATCGCGCGCGGACATGGGACAAACGTCCGATTGACCGATAACAACGTTCCCCGGCCCTTCCGCCCGTCGTCCGTTTGACAGCGCGTCAACACCGGCCGATAAACCGCGCCTCGTGCGATCGATCTCGCGACAACACAGACTGTACGTTTCGGTTTTCGGATCGCCGCCGCACGCCGACGACATGGAAACGTGCGTGCTCATACCGAAAGAGCTGTCCTTGCAGGCGGTGCCCGTGGCCAACGTGCAGCGGTCCAACAACAACAGGCACCACGTGGAACCGGAAATCACGGTCATGACAAACGTCAACGTGCCCAGGGGCACGCTCATCTACCCGTTCCAGGGCACGGTGCGCATGGACAAGTTGGACGTTTTCTCGTTCCTGGAAGACACAGACGTAAGTGCCGCCCTTTGCGATCCTTTATATACCTACCTACGCAACTTATTATTACTGGCGTATCGACGTCCCGTTATGATGTCATTGCGCGGGCTCGTGCGGCGACTGAAAACGCGTACCGATAGACGCGACCAACGACACTGTACAGACATTTTAGAGGACATTTAATATATTATTATTTCCAAAGGCGTTACCTACTTATCGTTTCAGCTTTTTATGTTTTTTGTTAATCAATTATTATTAACCGTTTGGGTTTTAACGACGTCGGGGTTATTCGTCAACTTTCAGATTAAAGATATACACGGTTAAGAGTAAAAAATTAAAATAAAAATCAAAAATATATTTATTTTAAATTTTTAAACTTTTATCATTTTATCTAATGAATGAAAATGATTTAGCTGTAAACCAGCAGCTATTGTAGATATGGTTTTACCTATATTATACATTTACAAGTCAATTATAAAATATAAAAATAATAATCTATAATTAAATTTAGTGTAGAAAATTTCATGACCAATCTAAAATTGTATTTTTTCATTTAAACACCAATCAATATCTAATAACATATTATACAGAAAAAAAATTAATGAAAATTATATTATATAATTGTATTTCATTAAAAAAATATTGTATATCTGTATTCATGAATTGCAAATTGATAGGTACCTACTTGCATCTTGTTCTCCCATGACCTCCTAGAAGGCATATAATATGATAATATACTTATATAATTTTTGCGTAAGTTCATTTAATTATCGAGTCCGTAATATTATTATAAATTAATATTGGTATTAATGATAAATATTTATATCGTATAGGAATATGTCAGTCGATGACTGTAACCAAACCCCCACGTATGGTACGAGATTTTATGATAGTAATACAAAAATATAACAAACGAAATCAATATAGTTATTGCTATTTATTAGATGTCCTAATATTTATATTGTACATAATTTATTATGAATTCAATATTACTTAATTGCGTATTACTATGGTCTTTAAATACGAATATCTATTGGCCGTCCATCGATATGATCGGTCGCGCGTACATTATTTGCGGTGTCATCTCCAAAACGGTTCAGTGCGTTTAGCTACAATATAGTTTATCCTATAATTTAAAAATTATCACCTTACACTTAATGCATTACAAGTTACAACAGCTATTAAATAATACATATTTATATTGTATCGTTCTCCTATTTGATTACGCGGTCATGGTGTTGTACATACGCGCAAACTCCGTGATTAATTGGCCGTGGGATATGCGATGTTGATACTGACGATGGTTGATGATGGATAGAACAATGAAATTAATTTTATTCATAATACGCAACAGATACACGAATAAACTATTTATATACACATTTATAGGTTTAGAATAATTTTTGAGCGATTTTCTCGCGGGGCTGGCAACTGTAGGCTGTTATTAAAAATATATATTGTTACGTAGTTGTCTATTTTTGATCTTGATATATATATAGGTATTGTTATGTATTTTCACTATTTTATAATTTTTTATACGCTCATATTACATTTTATCGCATATGGGTGCAATTATTGATAAAAGATGACTGAGGAAATTTCCTTGATGAATCTTTATTGGAATTTATTGTCATCGACCATATTATGACGCAATGTTATCTTATTGTGTTATCGCTTACCTACAGTTTTTTCTCATATTAAAAGAAATATGAAAAAATAAACATGTGTTTTTTAGTTAGATAATATATATATCCATTGATTGATTCATAAGGAAACAACCGCGCAATGGCATTGTTGTGGTTAGAGGCGCTCCCATTTAAAAAGGAAAACACGTTATTACCCGTTCACCGGAGACTTAAACTGTGGCGCACTAGCATTACTAACGAGTCTTCAAATAGTATCATAGCAATATAATGATGTAAAATACAATTTATTACTATATTTAAAATATATCTTGTACATCTATAGTTATTACACAAAATGTAATTAAAATAATCCCGTTTTTTTCCGAATTGAGATACTCTCGTTAATAATGCTTGTTTTAATAAAATATACGCATAATATCAGTAAACGAAATATTTAAAATCTATAATCGTTAATTCAACACAAGTTATACATTTTAGATTATTAGATATTACTAATTATTTATAGTATGTATATTTTTTTTTTTAGAATATTTTATATTCAAGTGTTTGTGATTTATGAATAAAACTCGTTTTACCTATATTTGAAATACTAATAAAAATTAATACATTTTTTTTTTGAATCATTTAATTATTTTTTATATTTATACTCAATTTCGTTTATATTTGAGTAAAAATGAAAATAGTTCACATTAATTTAAAATAACTAGGTATATTGTTATTATTATTTACAATTATTTTGATTGCCCCCCCCCCCCAAAAAAAAAAAAATAAGTAAAATTCTTAATAATAAGTTTGAAAATTTAACGCAATATGATTGTGCATATTCTCATACCGATAATTATAACATATAAAATATTATTCTAATAAACGGTAAAATTCTTTATTATAGTTTAGTCAAGTTGTATAAATTTACAAAGAAATTAGTTACTGAAAATAAGTTGTGTTTGGTTAATGTATATAATTTTGCAATAGTATTCTAATTTTAATTAATAGGTACCTTTTAATTTAAGCATATTGTTATTTTATAGTAAAAAGAGAAATTCATATTTCGATGTATTACTTATGGCATGGGTATTTTTATGTCATCTTAAAAGTGTTGAGTATAATATAGAGTTATTAATAAACTTGGCCTGTGAATGTATCAAAAAAAAAAAAGTTTTCACACTATAATATTTTTTTGTTTCATAAAATATATTATATTATAACAAGTTGCTTGCACGTTTGTGTATCAAAAAATTTAATCCGTTAAATAATTGTGTGATGAGCAATTTGAATAAAGCCCATATATGCATGTAGCCTATTATAATTGACGTGTACGTCAAAACAAAAATGGGAAAGAAAGCCAAAATTAATTTTTCCGAAAACAATATAGTAATCAAGGGTCTAGATGCGCGTGTTATAGTTATATGTATAGTTAACTAGCGAAATCTTACTAGTTTCTCATAATTCTCACACATGATTTCTGTTTTCACGTGTGTACACACTCCGGTGAAACCGCGGCGGTCATTGTAAACGCGAACGAGCAGTACCGGTGTATTTTTTCCACCAGAAATACACGTAATTATACTCAACTTACCACGTTTATGTCTTGTGTTTCCATGTGTGTGTGCATGTATATGTGTATGTCGGTTTCGCTTCAGTTCACGTTATACATAATAATATATAACAGGTAGGTGTATATCAGCTATAGTGCCTACTGTAACAGGTACATGTGCACATTAGGGGAAGATCATTACTGAAAGTGTTTAATTCTTTTATCTAGTTTTCACACACAAGTTGCATAGATATTAATTGCTCCCCGCGAGGTTTATTATGAGACTGCACTGTGAATTATTATTATTATTATTATATGTGTACGGCTTTCGACTCATGTGTGGCCCCATCACTGCTGCGTTGTTATTATACTTCCCGTATATTACGTTCCCACGGCGGAATGTTATATTTTTGTCTTCTTCATTGTAATCATATTAAACACATACATATATGTGTGTATGTATGTGTATACATATAATATCATGAATCATAAAATAATTACAATTACACGGCTGCGTGTGTTGTTAATTTGCGCAGGTTGTCAGACATTGTTTTGCGACTAGCATAATATAATATAGATTTAATGCTAAAAATTACACTCCGATAGGTACCTATATACTAATCTTTCAGTGTTTTTGTAGAACTTCAACTTTATTATAACTATCTACATCATTTCGGTCTCATGTTAACTAAATATTTCGTCACCAAATCAATAGCGAATGGCGAATGGGGTAAAATGTATACTCACGTATTAGGACGTATAATAGACGTATTTGGTGGTTATTCTACGTTCATTTAGCTACACTTTTTTCAAATGTTTAACATTTCGTAAATTATTATCTGTCTATAGATATAAACTATATACATCAAGATTTATTTGATGTCTTTCACGATGAGAAACATGTATGAGTCTCTTATAAATAGTAACATGTTCTTTGTCATATGTATTATTATGTTATTTCTTTGAATTGTTTGTGATCCTGTAAATCACAGTTTTAAATTTTTTTAATTTAATTCTGCTGTATTACATCCAAATATCACTCACAATATTATAATATTCAGATTATTAAGTGTTGGACAAAAAAGCCTATTTCTTATTGACCGTCGCACAAATCGTATAAATATTATATACATTGTGGTGCAGTGGCAAAGTGTAGTGGAGGTGCAGTTCGTGGTGATTATCATCGGTTCCGGCAGCCATTAAAATACATCTCATAGATCAAAAATGGTCCAATTACCTCGGTATGGCACGTTATATTATATGTTCATGGCTATATAACATATCGGATTTTTTTATCGTTATTATTATTATTATTATTATTATTTTTTGTCGATGATCCCCGTGTTCTAAATATAGTGTGTCTTCCCTGCGCACGCGGACAATGATAAAATACAAAACACAACAAAAAAGCCGCATAGACTCGAATGTATGTGTGTGTATGAGAGAGGTTCGATTTTTCACGGTCGGTTCGTGTACACTGTTGGCACGTACCGACACGCCACGTTTACTCGCGCGACGATCTCCCAATATACCTGCGTTGTTGATAAGAACGCGACTGACCAGTGAATAGAAATCATCACTAACAAAAAAAAAAAAAAAAAAAAATAAAATAACACAAAATAAGAAAAAAGACTTTACCGTTTCCATAATAGTTTTGATTTTCTTCATTGAAAATAAAGATGAAAAAAGTGAATAAAAATATCGGTATTTTCCGAAACGTTTAACTTTTTTGCTTAATATCGATATACGTTTTAAATATATCTGGTATCGTGTATAAAATACTGTGCATCCGCACTACACTCAGACAAAAAACTATACGAGTGATATTTCTTTAG